TGTATGTAGTAAAAATATTTTCAATATATTAAAAAATTTTTAAATCGCCAAAATATATTTTTTTATCATTTTTCTATATTCCAATATATATATATATATTATAAAAAAATTGATATTGATATATTTGAACTCTAATTTACTGGATGATATACTGAACATCCTTGCATTGATTATACATTACTCAACGTTTTTTCACGTTATAAGTATTTGGAGCAAATTATACAATAGCATCAATAATCAAAAAGAAATCAAGAATAATCAACATATCTCTTATATATATATATACATATATATATGTATATATATATATATATATATATATATATATACATATGTAAGCATATATAAAATTTACAAAAAGTAGGTACTTATTAGCCTTGATACGCTACTGCCTTCTGCTACGGAAGGCCAGAAAGCATTTTCAGGTCGCTTCTCGCGTATATCGGCACGGTAGAGGAACAAGGAGGACACGTGATTATCGGTCCTTGTTTCTCTACGGTGCGTCCGCGTGAGCAATGCAATGGTGTATGTACGTGTACAGACATGCGTTACTACATAAAACTCGAGAATTGGTTTCTCGGCGTTGGCAACACTGAAATGGGAGTTTCGCGTTGTCACCGCGCGAGGTCTCCAACATCAATTCGAAGTCTGGCCGGACGACCTGTCGACCCTTAAGACCATTCTTTTGTCTCATAATGTAGGTCATTTCAGAAATGAGTCTTTTTCCATTTTCGATAGGCTCCACATCTAAATTGAGATGTTCCAGTCAAACTGATGATCAGAATCAAGCCTATATTCAGTAATAACAGAGTGAGTCTTATTCTTCCAGTTAATATGATTCCCATGTTCAGCAATTCTTGTATGTAACTGTCATCCTATTTGCCCCACATAAAAGCAGACGTTATAATTCAAGTAGTTAATTTTATAAACTACGTTACAGCGATTTGTCTTGGGGATGTTATTTTTATGGACCTTAATAAATTTATTCATTTTATTTATACTAAAATATAAAATTGTCAAATTAAGATTTTTTATTATGTTTTTAAAACTATCCAAAACTAGCGGTATATAAGGACTCGCGAAAAATAATGGTATAAACCAATTATCATTAGAAATAAGCTGGCTGTTCAGATTAGCATTATTCTTATTTAGTAAAAATTTCAATCTAGAATTGTTCGGAAAATAAATTCCAACGGGTAACTATTATTAATAAAACTCTTATACTAAATTCTAAATTTTTTCTATAAATAGAGGGTGCGAAAGATACAAAACTATACAATGCCATAAATGAACCCCTTTTTCGACACATCGGATGTTACGAATAGAAATTTAAATAACGGCCTGAAAATGTTGGTTTGTGATACCAATTAAAAAGAAAATTGATTTTTATTAAGATTATTTGCATCTAACGCGTACGGTACGAGGCTCCTATTGTCATTATTACTCTACTAATTGTATAAAATTTAAAGGCTGAAAGGCGTAGTCATTAATTGAATATTTATTATACGCAGTTTTTTGCATCAACACTTACAAAATTACAATATAAAAAACTTGCATAGCAAATAAAACAAATTGTCACGTTTAAATATTTGCATTTTGAGAAACTGGTTTTATTTTTTAAGTAAAAAAGTGAATTTTTAAAGTACCATTTTATCTAATTCTTTATATCGCATTTTTCAATTCTTAAATCTATATTTGCTAAATATAATTCTATATATTAAAATGTTGTATAATATCTGTATTATAAAATGTTACTAAAATATTTTAATTTATTAAAAAAATACCAACAAGATAATACAAATCTAACTTTTACTTGGGACTTACTATACATAATAGCACACATTTCTATATAAAATTTCTTGTTAGAGTTAATAATTAATAAATATATAATCAATAAATTTCTAACATCTTAAAAAATGCGCGCATTAATTCTGTTAAAAAGATAAAATCACTTACCAGAGAGCTCTACAAATAAATAATTATAAATTTCTTTTATCAGAACTGCAAACGTCAATAACTATGCTCACTTCTGATACTTATTAAAGCTAGATCGATTTTGTTATTTCTATAGTCACTTTGTCAATTATATAAATATTCGTAGTGTACTTTGTACATAGACATTAATATTAATGGATTATTTTGCATATTTTGAATATTATTATAATATTAATTACATTCTAATCATTTTTTTCCTGCTGTAGTGAATTTATACCGTTCATAAAAATTAAAAGAATTCATTTTTTTTAAATAAGCAAAATTCAAACAACTTCAATGAAAATGAACAAAATTTAAATCCAAAGAAAGGGATGTGGTAATCAAGCTCGAATGCAGTCTTGCACGAATTTATTGTGAATTTTATATTTAAATACAGTAATTTTACATAGTCAACCATATTTACTCGCGTGTAAAAGCCTTTTCCTATTGTATTAATTTCCAAAGAAAGGGTTTCAAAGGTTGAAATCTTTACTCTCAAATGTTACTTTTTTAGTTTCTGTGAATTTGTTAATTTTTGAAAACCACGAATTATATATATAAATAAAATAAAAATTTTTGTCTTGTGGGAGTTTCAGTTTCTCAAAAAGAATCTGCGACAATTTTTAACTTTGCAATGTGAGAGCTTAAAGTTTTTCCTGTAAAATCATTTTTAAATGTTTTTAAAATTTGTTATTATTGCATTCCCATACAGCACAGATTATTGCAATTATATTGCAGCAATGTTGCAAGTTGCAATGCAACATTATAAAGACATTGCAGAGATATAGGTGCACAAAATTCCAGCACACTTGTAGCAACATGACATTAATATTTCGAAATATTGCATTCAATCCAAATTCTATAATTTATATATTGTAATATATATATATATATATATATATACCCAGCAAACACCAAGTTACAGCTATATAATTGTTAGTTGTAATTTTCCACTCAAAAATATAATACGTGTATTATAACAATTATATTGTTGAGTGGAAAATTACAACTAACAATTATATAATTGTAACTTAGTATTTGCTGGGTATAATACTGTAATAAAATAATTTTTTGCAATATTGTACAATAAAAGATGTTAACGATAATCAATAATTTTATTAAATCATTGGCTTAAATTTCTGCGCCGAACGCTCTGCGCAATACATGTGTGCGTGTATAGCAGGCGCCGGCTTCGCTACGTAGACGTAGACCGTTGCAACTCGTGGTTATCACGTGTACAGTAACTCGCATTGACTTATGTTTTGCTGTGTAAAGGAAAAGGTAAGCATTTTTTTGATAATACTATGTTTAATTATAACGATATACTATAAAGTTAAAAATCTATATTTCGTAATTATAAAAGAGAATCATTTGTCCCAAAGTTAATAAGAACCTATAACCTCTATAACCTCAAGGAGACTGAGATTGATTGGGAAAGTAAAAACTATATATTTATTTATGATATATCTTTGTATATTTTTAAGTGAATATTTTTGCTTTATTTAATTTTCTATTTTGCTATGGGATATATGTACATATCTCTATGATACAGTAATATGAAACTATAGATACTTTAGAGGTAAATATAGGCAGCCGTTAAAATAAATAATTATAATACATAAAAAGTAATATAATATATATAATCTGTAGCTAGTGCTTTATGTGTGTATATTTTATATTATCATTTCTTACTTGTGATTGTGGTACAATGCAGATAAACGTTCAAGTATTTGGCCTGCTCATTTTAAAAGTAAATTTAGAATAAATAAAGCAATAATAACAAGAGAAATGCCACAAAATGTTGAATGGGAAGTATTACCAGTGAAAAGGATTTTTGGCAGAGCAGGTAAAAGTTAATTATTATATTTATAATTGTTATATTAAGAACTTATATAGTAAAAAAAGTTTTGAACACTTTTTTCTATTTATAGTACATTTTACAAGTTATTATTAGTAAATTAAAATTTATTATATAACATATTATTGTTTTAAATTTTACAGATAATTATAAAGAAGGTATGGAAAAATTAATCATAGCTGAAGACACATCTAATATAGAGGCATCATCTGATAAATTAAACATACAAAAGTGTTTGGTATTTAATAAATTATTTACGCGTATCGCTCGGTCAATTTACCCGCTCGAATTCGTGTACCCGCATATATACGAGTATATGTCGGGTCCTTCGCCGTCGCCTTCGAGGGCTTCCGTTGCCGATCGCGACCATCGTGCGCGGTTCCCGCTAATACGAATCAGAATCGTCTCAGAGACAACGAGAGACACACGTGCGGCCGCCATAGCCGGCTATTGTATACCATTATACGCTGTATTTCAATTAAGCATTTATACTTTGTATCTCGAGTGCGGTCACTACCTTCTGAGTTTTTCAATAAATATAAGCAAGTGAGAGAGAAACATTCTCGGTCGTATATGAAGCACTCATTCCACGACAACATACGACGGGCACATGCCCAATAATTCAACTTACGTACATCCCGTACATTTGGTCCTTCGAGCCGGATTCATCCAAGGAATTCCGCAAGCTCGGTCAAGGTAGTGTCCAACAAACTTCTAGAGGATATAACACGAAGGGCGCAAGCCAAATTAAAGAAGGCCAACGTATCGAGTTATCACGTACGGTATCGGCCTACGAAATTTCCCATACATCGGCAGACGTCCTAACAAAAGAGAGGTCAGGAGCGGCTATTTTGCTCGTCGGCGAGTACAAACGATTGCCCCGCATTGGCGACAATGGCATAATTCTAACGCACGAGCAATCGAACCAGCAGTCACGGCGATCCTTGTCGGCCATATTCGACAAGACGAACGACGTATCGAGGGCCAAGCAGCGCATTGAGACGACGACACGCCCCCTCCTCCCCGCAGGATGACCGACAAAGGATTCCCGAGCGTTCACGCGTTTTCTTTCTTTGATAAGAAATAAATGTAAGGTAAGGGTAACTATCTAGTGACGAGTACCAACCAGATTCGAATAATACGTGTATCTCAATTCAATTAGTTTAAAATGTCTAATACAGAAAATCTCGCGGTACTTAAAAGACAACGCGCTATGATCAAAGGATCTTGCACGCAAATAAAACATTACGTCGAGACAATTACTGCTATCAATACCTCGACAACGGCTCAACTTGAGGAACGCAAATTAAAACTAGAACATTATTGGGCCGAATACCACACGGTACAGATGCAAATAGAAATTTTAGAAGAAGTCGAAGGTAACGACCGGGCTGCGTTCGAGGACGCATTTTATGCCGTATCCGCTAAAATCAAGGAGTTATTAAGCCCTCCCACACACTTACGCACTGCCGCTGTTTCGCCGGCAATGCTTTCGGAAATCTCGGACGCAACTTCCCGCGTGCGCTTACCTAAGTTAAATTTACCGACATTTTCTGGGAAATATGACGAGTGGTTCCCGTTCTTCGATACATTCACGTCGGTCATACATACGAACGCGTCTCTCAGTTGCATACAAAAGTTTCAATATTTAAAGGCCTCTCTCACAGGCGATGCGAGCAACGTAATTAATTCTCTAGAGATTTCGGACGCGAATTACAATGCAGCGTGGAATCTTCTTAAAGAGCGATACGATAATAAACGGGTAATCGTGCAAAATCATATCAAGGCCATTATAGAATTACCTTCCATGACAAAGGAAAATTATACCGAGTTAAGGCAAATCGCGGATGGCGCGACAAAGCACATACACGCGTTGCAAGCTCTAAAGCGACCCACTGCGTATTGGGACGATATTTTAATACACGTGCTATGTTTGAAATTCGATCCCCTCACACTACGCGAGTGGCAATCTTCGCTTACGGGTAACGAATTACCAACGTCAAAACAATTTTTCGATTTTATCACACGACAGTGTCAAATGCTCGAAGTCACAAACAAATCTAGTAACGTCGCGAACGTCAAGGACGGCGCTGCCAAGGCACACGCCAAGCGTCAAACAGCATGCGCAGCTACCGTCAAGTCAAAATGCAACTACTGTCGAGGGGAGCATTCCATTTATTACTGTAAAAATTTTCTGGCACTTCAGGTTCCTCAAAGGATTGCGGAAATTCGTTCTCGCAAAATTTGCCTCAATTGTCTGCGTTCCAACACGTACATTGCTAACAAATGCACTTCAGGAGGTTGCAAGGTCTGCCAAGCCAAGCATAACACGCTTCTTCACATGACGACCGTCTCGCAGCAAGCGCCTAATTCCTCTAGCTCTTCAGAAAAGGGCAACTCCAACTCCGCAGAATCCTCTGCCGTAGTAGCGACACACGTCGCAGGGGGAGGTGGTAACGTCATATTATCAACAGCCATGGTGCACGCGCGCGATCATCAGGGCGTGCTTTGACCTTGTCGCATTCTGTTGGATTGTGATTCTCAGGCGAATTTTATATCAAAGAAATTTATGACGAGGCTTGGCCTCACTCCCAAATCACTAAGCGTAGCCATATCCGGCGTGAACGGAACAGTTACAACGGCCACGCAAGCAGTAAAAATCGAATTGCAATCGCGAATAGATTCATACAGTGCTACAATCGATTGTATCGTTTCAGATCAAGTCACAGATAGACTCCCTGGCGTTGAGGCGGAAGGATTTCGAACTGCCACAAAATATAAAGCTAGCTGATCCACAATTTCACGTATCTTCCGATATCGACATTCTAATAGGAGCCGAAATATTTTGGGATCTTCTCTGTGTAGGACAAATACAATCATCGGACAGGCATCCTAAATTACAAAAAACGAGGTTTGGATGGATTCTAGCAGGACGAATGATTGATTCAAGGTCAATTCACACAAAGGTACATTCTCTCCACGCATCTACAAACTAACAAGCAGTTACATGATCAATTAAGTCGATTCTGGCAATTAGACGACGCGAAAAATGACTTCGATAATTTGACTCCTGAGGAAAGTTATTGTGAGCAGCATTTCATCAGCAATATTCATCAAAATTCATAAGGCAGATACGTGGTCAAACTTCCCATTAGAGATCAATTAATCGACAAGTTAGGAGACTCTCAAAGCATTGCCATGTCTCGTTTAAAGGGCATCGAAAAACGTTCTAAACGACAGCCCGATTTGGAAGAGCAGTACAAACAATTTATCAATGAGTACATATTGTTAGGGCACATGCGGAAAATAGAATTGCAGCTCAATGAGAGTTCCCCATGTTTTTATTTGCCGCATCATTGCGTGTTCAAATCTAACAATCAAACATCAAAGATCCGCGTAGTATTTGACGCTTCATGCAAATCTACCGAGGGCTTATCCTTAAATGATACACTTATGATAGGGCCAGTAGTGCAACAAGAGCTAACATTCATACTGATCCGATTTTGTTTCTTCATTTATGTTTTTAGCGCCGATGTAATAAAAATGTATAGACAAGTATTGGTGGACCCTTCTCAAACGCGTCTACAAAGGATCCTATGGCAACCCTGCTAACGACGTTGACACCTACGAACTATTGACAGTTACGTATGGAACATCATCAGCTTCATACTTGGCTACCAGGTGCCTTACTTATCATGCTGATCAATACGCAGCCAAGTACCCGGTAGGCTCCAGAGAGGTGAAACGCAGTTTTTACGTAGATGACTTTTTGTCGGGAGCAGATACTCTGCACGAGGCTAAGGTACTCCGGGATGAACTAATAGAATTGCTGAGAATAGGATCTTTCGAACTCAGTAAGTGGGCGTCGAATTGCCCAGAACTTCTAAAAAATATAAAGGATTGTGATGGGGAAGTAATTACCATTCATAACGAGACAGATTCTAGCATACTAGGGATTCAATGGAATCAAGTCAAGGATGTTCTTCACTTTGCATACAATTCAGGCTCCACTAACAGCGCAGTATCTAAGCGCGTTATTCTTTCTGAAGTTTCTAGGTTGTTTGATCCTCTGAGTCTCCTCGGACCCGTCATTGTAAAAGGCCGGCATCCATTGGGATGAATCCGTGCCGCAGGAATTACATACAAGCTGGCTAAAACTCAAGTCTCAATTACATGCTGTAAATCAGCTACAAATCTCTAGGGGTGTCAAATACAACCCAGACTCACAGCTCGTGCAATTACACGGGTTTTGTGATGCAAGTCAAAATGCATATGGCGCGTGCATATATGTACGCACAACCATCGAATCTAGTGAATATCGTTCAGAGTTGTTGTGTTCAAAATCCCGTGTGGCACCACTCAAGGCCGTGTCACTGCCAAGGCTTGAACTATCGGCAGCGGTTCTGTTAGCTCAACTCATAACTAAGGTGAAAGACTCATTGGACTCGCCCATGCAAACATTTCTTTGGTCGGACTCCACCATAGCATTGAATTGGATAGCTTTATCCTCGCGCAACTGGTCAGTATTCGTGGCAAATAGAGTCGGAGAAATTCAAAGGTTGACTCAAATCAGTCAGTGGCGTCACGTCTCCTCTTCCGACAATCCTGCAGACATACTATCCAGAGGCATATATCCGTATGATTTAATCGCATCATCCATGTGGTGGCACGGGCCCAGCTTTTTACGGTCGCATAAAAATCAGTAACCATCAGGAAGTTTTACATACCCGAAAGAGGACATGCCCGAACAAAAGAGAATAGCCGCTATCGTTGTCAAGCATGACCAATGCATGGTCACCCAGTTACTAACCAAGTATTCAAGTCTGAACAAAATCCTTCGGATCATTGCGTATTGCATGAGATTTTCTAAGAAACGGAACCTTGCGCCAACTAGAACAATATCTTTGTCTGAACTTTCACTTGCAACGGAAATCGTGTGCAGGGCGGTGCAAAAACAAGTCTTCTCTAAAGAATACAAAGCATTAAAATTAGGAACGACCATTAATGCAGGCAGCCGTCTATTGCCGTTAACTCCGTTCATGGATAAAGATGGCCTAATCTGGGTGGGCGGTAGGCTTAAAAACTCAAAGATTTTGACGCATGCCATCCCATTTTGCTGCCGCGCAATCATGATTTAACACAAAAAATAATTAGACAAGAGCATATTCGGAATATGCACGCCGGAACGCAAGGTACTATGGCCGCCGTCCGGCAACGTTTCTGGCCACTTTCGCTAAGATCCGCAGCGCGAAAGATCATACAAGAATGCGTAACTTGTTTTAAAGCAAAACCGCGATTCTCTGAAGCTTTAATGGGATCATTACCCGCCGGTCGGGTCACCCCATCTAGACCGTTCGCGCATTGTGGGATAGATTATGCCGGCCCAGTCACAATACGCGAAGGAAACAGGCGCAACTCTCGCAATCATAAGACCTACATAGCCATTTTCGTATGCTTTGCCACTAAAGCCGCGCACATCGAAGTCGTAAGCAATTTAACTACGGACTGTTTTCTTGGTGCATTCAAACGTTTCATTGCGCAAAGAGGGAAACCGACCCACATGTACTCGGATAACGGGACCACCTTCGTCGGGGCTAAAAACAAATTAAAGAACTATACGAATTTTATAACAAACAAGAAACGCAGTCCGATCTCAATCAATTCTGTGCCAACGAGGGCGTTTGCTGGGGATTCATTCCGCCCAACGCTCCCCATTTTGGCGGTTTATGGGAAGCGGCGGTAAAATCCGTAAAACATCACTTGACTAGAATTGTGGGCCAAGCCCATTTAAATTTTGAAGAACTGCAGACTGTATTGTCTGAGATAGAAGCTATATTAATTTCGCGCCCTATCACGCCACTAAGCGAGGATCCCAACGACTTGTCTTATTTTAGTCCGGGTCACTTTCTGGTTGGTACAGCACTAAATAGTTTCCCTTGCAGAGACTTCAGCGAGATCAATGAAAATAGGCTCTTACGATGGCAACGTGTGGAGCAACTTCGACAGCACTTTTGGCGCAGATGGAGTAGCGAGTATTTAGGCTCGCTGCAAGAAAGGTCGAAATGGAAACAAAATTCGGACATTTAACTACGCGTCAATCAGCTCGTACTTGTAAAACAACAAAATCTACCCCCTCTACAATGGGCTATAGGTCGCGTCTTAGAAATTTATCCCGGATCCGACAATGTAGTACGAACCGCAACTATAAAACCACCAAGGGTACTTATGTTAGACCATTGTCGAAGCTCGCGATATTACCTTCAGAAATCCAAACGACGGATAACTAATATACGCAACTAAGATGCAATCTCACGTAATAGTCACAACGCGCATATTTAGCTATTAAGATCATAGGAAAATTTATATTCATGTCTTCCGTTCTCTTAGTAATTTAGTTTAATTTGCGAACAAATATATAGTATTTTAGTTTATAGGATACTGTAGTCACTATTTATAAGAGTACTAAACTTACGAAATGCTATCAGTCATGGTTTATATTCTGTTGCGTTATTATCTTTATTTTATTGTACTGATAAGTCTTATATGTTTGCCTTGCGGTTCATTTTTTCTTCTATTCATTTTGAAAGAGCATTCTTTCGAGGCGGGCGGCGTTTGTTTGGTATTCAATAAATTATTTACGCGTATCGCCCGGTCAATTTACCCGCTTGAATTCGTGTACCCGCATATATATATGTCGGGTCCTTTGCCGTCGCCTTCGGGAGCTTCCGTTGCCGATCGCGACCCATTGTGCGCGGTTCCCGCTAATACGAATCAGAATCGTCTCAGAGACAACGAGAGACACACGTGCGGCCGCCATAGCCGGCTATTGTATTAGGAGACGCGGTAGTGTCTCCGGCCATGTTCAAACCCTAAAAGACCTTAAAAGACACTACAAGTCTCCTTATCCTGCACCATCAAAGTCCATTTTTTGGGGTGTAGAACTACTAAAATATAAAAAATTTTGAATTGCACGTAATATAACCTGAAAGGCGGCATCGCCACGAGTAATTTGAGCCAAGAAGGAATAAAATCGGTCAAGCCGTTCTGGAGATACAAACGGTCAAAAAGTGACGTTTTTCATGAAAAATGAAGTAACGTCGTCTTCTTCTTCTTCTTCTTCTCTGTCCGCGTCCGCTGACGTCATCAGGATTATATATATATAAATCTCTTCTCACTTTTCACTCACACCTCCCTCAACTTCCACCCACTCCTTTCCCTCCCACATCCCGCCCTCGCCCCCACCCCCACCCCCACCCACCCCTCTTTCGCCTCTTTCACCCTCTTTTGTCCTCTTTCACACCCTCTTTCGTCCTCTCACTTTCTTTCGTCGTCCTCTTTCACCCTCTTTCGTCCTACCTCACCCTCTTTCGTCCTCTTTCACCCTCTTTCGTCCTCTTTCACCCTCTTTCGTCCTCTTTCACCCTCTTTCATTCTCTCTCACCCTCTTTCATTCCCTCTCACCCTCTTTCACCCTGTTTCGTCTCTTTCACCCTTTTTTCATTCCCTCTCACA